GCTACAGATGAACACTCTCCCCTCGCTCCACATAGTGAACGTAAAAGTTCATTTGTCCCACAAATCCCAGAAAGTGCATGGTATTTGAGTTTTGACATTTTGGTCTTTTTGGTGGCTTTTTGGTGATATTCTGTGGATTTATTTTGCATTCCTACAGTAACTAAGAAAGCTGAAACACTTTTCAAATGTGCTCATGGATCATTTGGAAAACTCTTTTGAGGGCTGGGTACACAAGTCTTTTCTTATTTTTCTATTGGGTTCACTGTTCCCTATTGACGCAATAACTTCTTTATTCTGGATAAGAATGCTTTGGCAGAAATGAGGAGCATGAGAAAAATAATGGGGTCTTTTGATGTATAGAGTTAATTTTAATACAAATTTAAAATTTACATTTAAGTAAATTTACATTTAATGTACAACTTACCAATATTTTCCTCTATGATTCATTTTTTGGGGGTCTTGCTGAAGAAATCTTGGCCTACATCAAAGTCCCAAATATATTGCCAGCTATTACCTTCTAGAAATTTTATCATTTCTTTCACATTTAGATCTATCCTGTACCTGAAACTGATTTTTGTGAAATTATGATGTAAGAGTAAAAACCCATTTTTTTCTATCGGGATAGTCAACTGATCATTCAAAAATCACCTCTTCTTCGTTGCATTGCTTGCTGTCCTTGTCCTAAGTAACTATATACCTGCAGCTCTGTCTTTAGATGCCATTCTAGTGGTCATTTATCCTTGGGCCACAGCCTTGTATTTCTTTGTGATAATAATTATAATAACAAATGCAAAAATAGCTGTACTAACTATATAGAAGCAAGGTTATTTCTTTAAGTTTTCTGTACTAGAGATTGAACCCAAGGCCTTGCACTTGCCTCTACTACTGAGCTATATCCTGAATGCTTTGTAAAAATTTTGAGACCAGATCTGGCTAAGCTGCCGAGGCTGGCCTTGAACCTACTATTCTCCTACCTCAGCCTCCCAAGTAGCTAGGATTACAGGTGTGCACCACTGCACCCAGCAAAGCAAGGTTCTTTTTCTTAAAACCCACAAATTCCCTTGTGACAGGCAGTTTGTTTACCACTGCTTCTAGCACACCCAGTGATATGACAGTGTCTTAACATATGCTCCTGTGGGACTAATCCATACCCCTTTTGGGGTTACATGATAAGAAGGAATCTATGAGATAGGCACTATTAACCCCTTTTTTGGATGAGGACATTTGATTATGTTGTGTCCAAATCACCCAGCTCATGAGTGGTGCAGCTGGGATTTGAACACAGGCCAGTCTGGCTCAAGCTGTACTCTCAGCCTCTAACCCTGGTGCCATACCTCTGGGCAATGTATTTCCCTGCAACCACAAAAACAGCCAAGCAACCGGGGCGGGGGCGGGGGGGGGCGGAGCACCAGTCTCCTAGGCCAGAGACCATCCATTATCCCAGAGCAATGGAGCTAGTGAAGATTTCCTCTTGTCCTTTTGTCCATTCCCTCTCTTGGTATTTGTGTGGAATTGGTTCCAGGACCCATAGGGATAACAAAATCTCTGGATGCTCAAATCCTTTATTCAAATGAGGTAGTGCTTGTATACAACTGTTGTACATCTTCCTGTATACTTTAAATCATCTCTACATATAGTACCAAATACAAAGTAAGTGCTATGTAAATGGTTGTTATCCTGTGTCGGTTAGGGAATAAGAACAAGGAAACAACATCTGTGCATGTTCAATAAAGACAGTTTTTTCCAAATATTTCGCATCTGCAGTCGGTTGAGTCCTTGGATATGGAATCTGCAGGTGCAGAGGGCCAACTGTATTCATTTGAAGGTGAGCTAACAAATGTAGCTTGGTTAAGCTCTGCACAGCACTTCAAATGTGGCTTGATGTTAAAACCATCAATGGTATGGCTCCTGTTTGCTTTAAAGGTACATCTCCCTCCAAAACTCCCAAAGGTGCTGTTCTGTGTTCTTTTATGTGATAATCAGGCAGGTGCAGCCATAAGAGGAGACACAAGAAAAGAAGAGCTCACTGTGCTCACAGGTTCTAGAAACAGGAGGAACAGTGCACAGTGGGACAGGAGCCAGGGCAGCCTAGGCCTTTACTGGAGGCTCCAAGGAAAAGGCAAGCAGGGCAGGGTAAACAGCTTAGGACTGGCTGGTTTGAGTAAGTCCAGGGGGCTCTAAGACTTGGGGCTGGTCCTTAGTTGCTTGTTTCCTGGCCCAGGGATGATTAAGGCAGAGGAATATTGCCTCCTGGGATAGGGCTCAGGACTGATTAATTTGTATTATGGAAGGCATGCTCCCACCTGAGCCCTCACTGCTCAAAGAACTACTGGCCCCAGGAGGGACAGGTCTCACCTCAGCTGCAAAGGTTTAAGATGTCAAAACACTGTAATAACAAATTTAAAAATCAAACAGTATGTATACACTCTGTATTCAGACTACCTGTAGTGCCCCAAACTGCCATATGGTTCCTAGTTTCTGAGCATACAGTATTCCTTTCTTTGGATGCATTTGTCTTTTGGATTATCTTTAAATTTTAGATCAAATAGCACTTCTCTGCAGTGGAAGCCCTTATGACTCAGCTGCAGTTAAGACTGTTCCTTATACTCACCCTCAGCTCTTCACTGAAAGTTTTAGTTAATATTCCTGTTTCCTCTACTAATCATAAAGACCCTGCATAGGGAAGAGGTAGAGACATTGTTTGAATGAATGAACAAATGAATGAGCAAATAAAAGAAACCCTCTCCCAACATGGGGTGGTAATGCCTTCATCACCTGCTGGCATGGCTTCTTGCTTTAATAATGGAAATTAAAACTAAAGCAAGAATTTGCAGGAAAAAGCTCTAACTGGAAGGTAAGGAAGATCTCTACTTGGGGGCTAACTGAAGGGAGCATACTCTGATGAAGAGGATCAGACTGGCCCACCTACAACAGCAGGAGGCCAGCTTCCTGGGATTTGGCTGATCATCATTTCCGGCCGTTTCCTAATTCAGGTTGAAACCTTGTGACTGGAGGTGATTGGGTTTCCATGTGAGGAGTCCAATGGTTTGAAAGGCAATCTCAATCATGTGAGACTCTGCCGGCATCCAGGAGACCACAGGTTTAGGGAAATGGAGATCATGGTGTAGCTGAATGTCCCTGTAAATCTCTTATACTAGCATCCTCCGTCTTAAAGGGTACTGAGATGGGCTGGGTAGATTTGGGGCTAATAGATCTTGTTATGCCAACTTTTAGACACTCCCTACATGACTAAAATGCTTATGTGCACAGCTAAGGATCTGACCCAGAGTTTCACAAAATTAAGATCAAGTTTTGTTCTATTTTTGGTTACCACTGGGCATTTGTAGGCAGAAGCAAAGAGCCAGTTTTTAGTAAAACCCACTTTTCAATTGCTGGCTGCCTCAGAAGAAAACACAAATCATGCTTTTGATGAGTAACAGCTTAAGGGTTTAGGAGTTGTCTGTCCCTCGTCCCTATGGTGGTTTCTATGTCATTTTGCCACCCTTCACCTTGTGGCTGTGACCTCTACCAGGGCCTTTTTGGTAAGGAAAAGAGAAGGCTCAGAATTTGCACTAGTTATTGGGATCAGTTATCTGAGTTTTAATATTATGGCATTTATTCACTATCATGACAGAAAATATGTTTTGAGGCAGAAATTTGAAGATAAAATTTTTTAAAGAATTTCAACGTTCACAGTTTGATTACTGTTAAAAGCATTTTATAACTTTTTAATGTTTGGTGATGCTGAAGATTGAACCCTTAAACATGCTGGGCAACCACTCTACCACTGAGCTACATTCTCAGCCTCCTGGTGCAAGCATATTGCAGATCTAAACCTTACAACACCCCAAGTGGTAATCAGAGGCTATTACTTCCATTGTAGATACAGAATGAAGCTCTATGATGCCAAATAACATAGTTTACAGTCCCAAAGCTCCTCATAGGGGCAAAACTCTAATTTGAACCCTGCGCTTGTTACTAAATCTGAGAATTTTTCATTCCACTTGCTGCTCTTCCATTTACATTTATTTCCTGTCAGCTTATATTGGTCAATATTTCCAAACAAGGATACATGCTGGGCTGTTGATGTAACTCAGTGGTACAGCACTTGCCTAATATGAATGAGGGGTTCACTCCCCAGCACTGAAAAAGAAAAGAAAAGCCTCATCCTTGATGTTTGCAAGCGCTGAGCTGATGACCACTGCGAATGCTCCTCTGCAGAAGGAACCAGCTCAGGCTTCTCCAAAGACAGTCAGGATGACAGTGCCAGATAGCAACCATGTCAGGTCTCTTGTAACAGAGAGACTCGTCTGCAGACATATAATAGGGACCAGCCTGTGTGTTCCTAAGGATACAAACTACAAAGCAACTTAAAGAACCTCTCTAGGATTTGTTTCATTGTGAAATGATGATGAAATATAGCAAATGTTTCTAGGTTACCAGTCAACTTAGGGATAGGTGTTTCAAAAATGGAAAAGTAATGGACCCAGTGGAAAATTATGTACAGTGATTATAGAATTTTATTCAACAGTGTGAACAAATGCGTCAGTGTTTGAAAATCTGAACACACTGTTATGTATCTAACCAAAATAAAAAGTAACACTGCACAAAATTAGAATGATTTTTAAAATGTTTTCTGTTTTAACTTATTGGTGAGCTAATTGATCCTATATTTTGAAATCTACCAACAGTAGTAACTTTTCGTATGTGGAACAAAGGCTGTATTTCTTTCTCATGCTTCTGAGTGGGTGGTTTTAAAAAAATCTATGTCAGTACATTTGTGTATCTCTACAGCTTTTATGAGACAGTGTTTTACTGTGACCCTTTAGAAATTGGAGTTTCAAAGACTCAACTTACTAGCCTCCCCCTTTCTCCTTAGTCAACCTCAAGATTCAGCAAAAGGTGAAAGACACACTTTTGACAATGACTGAAAACCCTACCCCAATTGTGCTATATTCTTGAGTGCTGGTTCATGATATACATTCACCAAACAGGAAGCAGAAACATCAAATGTTTTATTATATATTTTCAGTTCAGAAATATGAACAATATTTACACAGCATTATATTTATTTACTTACAAGGCATCAATGTAAAAAGCAATAAGAGCCAGGAGCGGCACCATGCCTGCCTCACAAGAACAAGGTCCTAAGTTTGAGCCCTGGTACCAGAAAAAAACACACCAAACAATAAGAAATGCTGGTTTCTGAGTTAAGAACCATTATATTTGAAATATGAGGGCCAAGGACATGGCATACCATGAAGAAGAGTTATTATTAAAGAGTATGTTGAGGGAAAAAAGTACAGAGAATTATTAGCTACATAGTTCTGAATTTAATATTTTGAATCCAAATTTTTTCCCTTATTTTAAATTGATTATCAACAGATGAATGGATAAAGAAAATGTAATATATATACACAATAGAATATTATTCAGCCATAAAAAAGAATGAAATGCTGGTGACTGTATCTTTAGACCACAATGTTAAATGAAAAAGGTCAGGCACAGAAAGTGAAATACTGGATGGTTTCTCTTATAGTGAAAATCTAAAGTACAAATAAATTAAAAATAAAATAAAAGCGATAATAGGAAACAGGGAAGCAGACTTTTTGGAGATAGGAAGAGGATCAGAAAAAGGGAAAAAGGAAGGTTGAGCAAAAAGGGATTGATCAAAAATGATCAAGATATGAGGTCTACATATAGAAATTCCCCACAATGAATAAAACTATTATGTACTGCAAACATATACTATAAAAAAGAAAACCTTACTGATTTATAGAGCTGAAGTTTGCTTCCAATAAATCCCATCAACAGAATATGATAAATTTACACTATTATTTGCAATCTTTAAGTATAATAGAAGAAAAACTAGTTTAAAAGCAAAAATATTAAGTAATTAAAATGTAAAAAAACTATAGTGGGAGGAATGTCACACATTGTGACATAATAAATGTAAACCATGTTAGAGATGTCAACACTCCCTTGAAAGAGTGTAGTGATGCAATAATACAGGTGTATGAAAGAATACGTCTGTACTACTTCAGGAGATGTCTAACAGTGAATTAGTCCACTGCCAAACAGGGTGAGCAATTACAGCACGGTAAATTGAGTCAGCAATAATACAATTCATAATTTCTAAGGAAATATGAAAGTATTTTCAAATTTATTTAATTATAAATGTAAATAAAACATAAACACTAAACTGAAAACTGGTCTTGAACTTGGAATAAATTTGAAATTAATGTGAAAAAATGCAGGTAAATGACAGTTTATGAAATGACCCATAGAGACAAATGATGGCAATTATTTTGATTATCATTCAAAAATGTTGTGTTGAAAGGAACATTTAGATATTTTTCTAGGTCATCAGTGTTAGTTTATTAGTGAATTAAGAAAGATACATATCCACTGCCTGCCTCACAAGTGCAAGGTCCCGAGTTCAATCCCCGGTACCAAAAAAAAAAAAAAAAACATACATAAATGGGAAAATGATATTTTCCTCTGTATCACATATTTTCACAAGTTATAAAAATAAAATTTTCTGCTGGTAAAAAAAAAAAGAGTAATTCATATTACAAGTTTTTAAAAATATGGCATACCTGTATCATGACTTTTTGCCATGACTATCTTGAGTGCTTACGTTATCTAATCAATAAGTTAAATCAGAAATCTTTGATCCACCAGTGTTTTGCTTGCCAAATTCTTTTGTCCTACCGTATTACGGATAAATCTAAAAATCTGAAAAATTAAAACAACTGAGAATGAAATGAAACATAAAGATAATTATATATACACATCAATTAAAATATCTAAATTAAATTAGTTAAACCTTTCAACTATCTATTTTTATGTACCAGACATCTAAATTCTATGGTGATTCACAAAATTATTTCAAGACTATTTTCATGTTTCATAATATCAAAGCAATGTATCTTCCTGTTTACAACATGTTTTCATAAATAAATAATACCAAACTCTCATGCTTATAGGAATATACTTAAATATCAGAAAAGACAATTCTTTTCTGACTCTAAAAGCTATGGAAACGTCAAAAGAATCTACTTGGTAGGGACAGAATTTGTTCATAATCGTAAGTCTCTAACAAGGCCTAATAATAAATTACATCTTACTGACTTGTATACTTCTTTGACATACAGAGAATATTACAACATTTCAAGAAGCACAGATTTGCCATTTCTTGAAATTTCCACTTCAGAGATTTCATTCCCAGTTATTTGTTATTCATACTAGGAAGGGTGTGTGACAGTTACAAGCTAAAAGGGCTTCTGGGGCTGAGTCTTGAGTTAAATCTCCAGTGATTGCTTTTTCGTTATGAATAATTTTTAAATTACTGCTTCATTTTGGTATCTGGGAGACAGGCAGTTAAGTATCTTCCTACCAGATTTCTTTCATGTTTGCTCAAGCAATTCATGCCCTCTGCTAGATTGTAGTATATGTGTCACTGACTCTGGGGACAGAGTGCAGAACGTGGTCGGTTTCTGCTATTCCTTTTTTTTTTTTGGTAGAGTTAGTCATATTCTAAACATTTATAAATCCCTACCGTAAGTAGATATTACTCTCTGCTGTGAAAATATCTACTTCCAATATATTTCTTTTAAAAGAGACTCAGAAAGAAATGTAAAGTTACCTCTTGTTGTAGGTATGTGAGGAAGGCTGCTACAATAAAGTTCTGGCAAGCCAAATCCACAACACAGAAGAACAGCAGCTCGAAAATAAGAAGAGTGGCTTCACTTCCATAATACAACACACTGCTGAAAGAGTAACTTGCATCTATTAAAAACATTTTACAGGATATGTTAGAAATTTTAAAATGGAACAAATCTATGATACATTTCTGGTAATAAAATTAGGGTATTTAAAAACAGCATATTAGAAACTAGTAAAAAAAAAAAGGAAACTAGTACTACATACACTATTTTATGACGTATAAAAAAAATAAGCAACAGGTACTAAGATTTGCTAATCCTAAAAGGTCAAAGAATTCATAAAAACTCGCAAGACACAGTTTTAATATTAGAACTAAAGATTGGTAATTGGTAATAGTATAAATATATACCTTTCGAAGACCAGTTAATGAATATCTTTTCTCTATTTCTTTATATACCTAAAGGCTAAATTAATCTTTTAAAAGATTCTGTAAGAAGACTAATTAAAAATCAAAAAAACAGCTGGGATTCAGCTCAGTGGCGCCATGCCTGCCTCACAGGCCCAAGGTCCTGAGTTCGATCCCCAGTACCAGAAAAAAAAAATTAAGAAAAACAATTTAAAAACAGCAAGGGATAGGATAGTACATAGTATTCCAAAATTCCTGCCTCAAAGTCTCCTCAAGTTTTGCTCCAGGACTATTTCTCACTCACAAGTGGATTTTGTACTTTTTGGGAGGTGAACAACCTTTTAAAAAGATCTGTTGAATACTAGAAACCATCTGCAGGGTGTGTGAGGAGGAAGTACACCTGTGTAAATCCCACAGCACATTTCTGGTAGGTCCAGAGAACCATCTATGCCACCACAGAGACCCACGAGGATCCTGTTTTATCAGAGGGGACGTCTGGGTGCTGTTAGTGTTCTGGGGCAGGATGCTAGGTACACAGACATACTCATTTGGTAAAGTTCACTCACCTGTCAGCTATATCCTTACAAACATGTACTTCTCAATTTATATTAAATGTGTACATGTAAAGAAAATAAACCTGTTTTACATGGGGTTTTTTTGCTTAAATTCTTTTATTGGTACATTTTAGGTATACAATACATCTACATTTATCATTGGGTGCTTGTACCTGTACATGTTGTATCTTGGTTCTTATTTTTCCCCATTCCCTGTGCTCCCTTCACCCCCTCCACCCTTCCCTATTTACAAAGACTTTGTTTCTATCTTTTCCTTTTCTCATACCTTTTCCTTTCCCTTCTTTCCTTTGTTTTCCCTGGGGATCTTCAACTAATACTGCTCCAGCAATGACATCATATGATGGTAACTCCTAGCTTTTGTATGCCTTTACTTTCTCCCCAGATCTGGTCCCTTGTATTTAGTGCCTTACTAGATATCACTTCCTAAAAGTCCCAAAAGTACTTCAAGATACAACATAGTCAAACTGAATTCATCCTCTTTCCATCAAAATCTCTTCCTCCCTCTGCATTCCTTGACTTAGAGAACAGCACCACTATGACCACTTAGTCACAGAAAAAAACTCTGCATAATTTTTGTATACTCATTTGTTTTGAGATGGGGTGTCACTAGTGTCCCAGCTGGCCTCAAACTTGTATCTTCCCAGGTAGCTTGGATCACAGGCATGCACTGTGCCTGGTTTTGTCTACTCTTTTTCTCCTACCTCTTTTTTTCCTTAACATCTTTAGCAATTCTTTCTTCTTTGTCTCCATTTCTACTGCCTTAGCTCATATTCTCATCATCTCCTGATGAAGACGAGGACAGACAAAGACAGGAGGAGGAAGAAAGATAGGGGAAGGAGCAACAAAGCAAAAGGAAGAGGAAGGAGAAAAAGAGGGAAGAAGGTACAACGAAGATGACGGTAGAAATAGTAACATTTCCTCTCTGGGTGCCTACCCATGTCATATAATGTTCTGGTCAGTGGTGGCGAATCTATGGCATGGGTCTTATTTGTTTTTCTTTTAAGACAGAAGAGGTTAATGTATGAGTTGTTTTTTCTAAACTAAAACCTCAATATTCAGGTTTAATTGCAGTGTTGGAACTTTATGATAAATAAGTGGGTTTGGGGTTGCAGTTTGGGCCTTTGTCTCTAAAAGGTTCACCATAACTCATTAAGGTTCTTTTTTTTTTTTTTGGTACCAGGGATCGAACTCAGGACCTTATACTTGTGAGGCAGGCAGCGGAACCACTGAGCTAAATCCTCATTAAGGTTCTATATGGTAATCCCACAAAACTTATAGATGGTTACACCTAATTTTATGAAAAAGGTATTAAAATTCAGAAAGGTTAAGCCATTTCCTTGAGTTCACAAAACTAGTAAATGGTAGTGAGATTCTGAATCCAAGACCAGAAGAGTGTGAAAGCTTTATTTTTATTGACGAAGTTCATCTCTGTAACTCAATCTGTAACATACTGCCAGAATAACCGATCCACTTTATAAATCAGATCTGCTTAGCATACCTCAATGGTATTCATGTTCAGTAGCAGTGGCTTTCAAATTATTTTGATCATGTATCTCTATCAGAATAAAATGCTGAGATACACTCTCATGGTAGATATACTTTATTAATCATTATTCTTTATATTATGTATTTTAAAAAATATAATTTAAGAATGATAGAATTACAGATATATAAATGGTCATTTTAATATTTTCTTCTTACATCTCCATGGATCAACTTACACACATCTGATGGGGCAAGAATTTTAAAAATACGTATTTTTTGGAAATGACAGGTCTACAGGACAAGGCAAACTGAACTTCCTCGACATAAAAGGCCTGTGGGATATGGTCTCTGTGCTCTTCGCCTTTCAGGCGCTCTCCCACGCTGTGTCCAAACTCCACAAAGCCTACGTAAACACAGAATGCACTATGCACATTTTTCTGCATCTCTGTTCACTTTCTGCATGAACACCTTTGCCTCTTTCTCTTTCTTCCCTTAACCCTCTTGTTCCAATTTCTCCATGTTACCTTTCCTGGGAGATTTTTAGCGTCCTTCTGTCCCTGGCGTTACTCATGCCTGCACAGACTTCCATCCCTGGACACTCAGCTTATCCACTCACCTGCCTTGTCTCCCATCATCTACCTAACATGATAGTGAGGGAAGGACCATGGGTCTGTCTCCCAGGCCTGGCACAATAGCTGGCAGGCAACACACATGGGTAAATGATATCTGCACTGGAACGCTGGTTATACCATTTTCATTCTTACCATCCCATGCAACATGTTATTATTCATACTACAAATGACATAGATGCTATCATTTTAATGATTAAACAACCTGCTTTAAGTCACTGTTTCTGTCAAAATATCAGTGACTTTGAAGAACTTGGACAAAATAAAAAATTAGATGTCAAAGATTAATCACTTGTTATTCTTCTTTAAATGTTTCCTAAGTTTGCCACTACATTAACATTCCAATAAAAACTTATTTTCTCTTCAATGTGTAATGTTGATTCTGAAATTCAGCTTTTTACTTTCTTCTATAATCTTTTATGTATTTGATTTCTGCTGCACAGCATAATAAATAAAACAAAACTATTATAGTTCAGAGATTGAGTTCATTATGGTCCCTTGTTTTATACAAAATTATAAAAAAAACCAAAGGAAGAATAACTTGCAAGTACTTTTTCCATCAAACTTTGAAAATAGTAATAAAGTTCAGCAAAGGGATTTGAAAGATACCATTGTAAAAGATACTTTTTTCCACTGGTTCCATGAATTCCATCCCAAGAATTCTTTCAAGAAGCAATTTATCTTTTATAATGTAATCCATTTCCTTATGTACCTAATATAAGAAGACAGTCATATAAAAATAAAAGCAAAACAAATGCTTTCCAAATAATGTAAAAATCAGAAGGGCAAATGAAAAATAAATAGAACACAAAGAGAATCTGCTCTGCACAATAAATTTATTACACTAGGATTTATAACAAAATTTTCCTTATCAATGTTCTAAATTTTAAGTGCCAAAAGGATTTAGGGCTAGATATACTTAAAACTAATTTATAAGATGCTTTTCAAGAATATAATCATAAGAATTTCAATAGTGAGTAATGCAGTAATATTTTGCTATAAAATTCTAATACAAACACATTTTAAGGGACTCATCATTTGCTAAGAGACATAAAAAAAATCTCATTTTTCTTTTATATAACCTTACTTATCAAAAACTACTATTTCTAAGTATTAAATTTGATAAACAAAAGAGAGAGGGAGCAGTTCACTAACACTTTTACTTCACTTTTTAAAAACTGCTTTTGCCCCTAGCTTAAATATAAATATTGATATACGTACATGATCAATGAAAGAGCCAAGAAATTTATTCATCGCATGATATGCTTTTATACTCTGCTCAAAAGTACTTGCTGATGAACTCAATAGTCTAGCAGGGCCATTTTTCTAATATAAAAAAGAGAAGTGAATAAATACAACATGTCTTATGTTCTTGGTATTTAAATAATGTTAAATACTGGCAAAGTCTCCCTGAACTGTACTTCATACAAACCCTTGTGAGCGTCTCATGAATCCTGTCATAGTGCTGCCTCATCTGGCTGGAAACTGCAATCTGAAAAGTCTGACCATCTGTGTTGGGTACCAAACCTCTTTGGCTACACAAGTTTTCCTGAAAAGTTAAAAGATTTAAATTAAGATTGAAGTTTTGAGAAAGGGCCCATCTTAAAAGGAAAAGTGTAACATTTTTTCTTTTAGTTAGTATCATATGTTACAAGATTCAGAAGCCTAGTGAAATTTACTGGATTGTATTTAAAACACAGATCATAACATGATACCCAAGGGTCCCGTTGTTCTCTGGATTTTACTAATTTCTACTTTATTCTAATTCATATTTCCCCCATGGTCTTCACATCATCTCCTTTACTCTGCTGTACTTAGGAAAAGGAAAAGTACTAAAAGCCCAGCATGGTGATACATGCCTATAATCCTAGTACTCTGGGAGGCCGAGGCAGGAGAAGTGTAACTTCATGCCTAACCTGGGCAACTCAGTGAGCCCTAATCAAAACAAAAAATCAAAGAGCAGCTGGTGATGTAGCTCAGTGTGAAGACCCTGGGTTCTATCCCTAGTTCCATTAAAAATAAATTCACTGTATATTGAAATTTTTAGCTTTCTTTATGATTAATATTGTCACTCTTAAAAGAACGCAGAAAGTCCAGTCTTAGAATTAATACTTTTGTGATTATAAATGTTTTTTTTCTGAACACTTATAATAATTAATTCATTCCAATCAGACAGTAGCAATGCATGACTGAACAGTGAATTTTACTGAATAGGTACTCACCTCCATAAGAGTTACATTGACAACCACAAGGACCTACCATTTTACCTGCTCCACCACCTGGCCTATACATATAGCATAAAGTTGGGGTCACACTGATTTTTCATACCCTGGGCAACTCCCCAGATCATTATATAGTCTGTAAAACATGATTTTAACATCTGCTTATGATTTCACTGTAAAGGCAAATCAATTTAATTCATACTCTCCAATTTTTATGTATTTCTCTTTTACCAAAGACTTGTGTGATAAAGATCCTGAATCTAATTAGCTGTTCATATTGCTAACTTTTTCTTGAGTTAAGTTCATAAAATTAGCCAAAAATTATACACTGTTGAAAAGCTCTTGGTATATACTGTTCAAGTGCTTTCCAGAAGGTTTGTAAAAATTTATCCTGACATCTGTGGATGCCCATTTTACTGTGTCCTTGATGCTATTAAACATTCATTTTTTTAAAAAGTTTTCTAGTTTGAAGAGGAGTTTAGATTCAGTTGTTTATGAGTTACAATTTTTTAGAGGTTTACTAGTTTCTTTTTTTTTTTAAACCTTTTGTCATTTTTCCACTGGTATTTAGTGTTTTCTTACCGTCTTGTACAATTTTCAATTTTGTTATTAATAGATCTGTCATATTTGTTATAAGCATTTACCCTAATTTGCCATTTTTATTTACCATTATTTGATATATAAATATATTATGTTAATAAAGTAATACCAATTTTCCTTTTTTGATGCTTTCTATTTTTTTTTTTTTGGTACCAGGGATTGAACTTGGGTCCTTGCGGTTGTGAGGCAGGTGGTGGAACCACTGAGCTAAATCCCCGGCCCATGCTTTCTACTTTTTATGCTTTTAATGCCATTCCTCAAAAGAAAATATTCCTTTCTAGGTGATTCTGATTTCATTTTTTATATTTAACTGTTAAATTCAGCATAATTTCTAATAGTTAACCAAGTACTCCTGGTCAATGTATTAAACAAATTCTCTGAAATGTCATTATCATGGATCAAATCCTTTTGAGTCACAGGTATGGCCCCTAATCACTAAATATTCTTGCTTTTTCCTTCTCGGTGTATCTTGTTCTTTTAAAATTTTTATTGTGGAAGTTCTCAAATGTATACAGTAGAGAGAATGGTAAACCAACTCATCACCAAGCTTCAGCATTACCAAAGTTTTACCAATTTTGTTTCACCTATTCTGTCAACTTTTTTTTAATGTTAGAAGACTCTAGACCATGTCATTTCATCTGTAAATGCTTCTGTATCTATAACTAATAAGGACTTAAAAAATAACTATTGAGTTGGGCTTGGTGATGCATGCCTGTAATCCCAGCACTAGGGAGGCTGAGGCAGGAGGACTGCCTTGAGTTCGAAGCTAGCCTGAACTACATACCGAGACCTTGTCTTAAAAAGCAAGCAAACAAAAACTACCATGCCACTATCATATCTAACAAATTCATTCATTCTTTAATAATATAAGTTAATATTGAATCCTTTAGAATCTAGAGATTCTAGATTCTTCTGAACATTTTTGTTATTGTTGGTTTGTCTGAATTAGGATCCAAAGTCCACACACTGCTTTTCACTGTTTTGTTTCCTAATCTCCCTTACTATGTAATTTTTCTTCCACCACCCGCATCACCCCTCTTTCTCTTTTCATACTAGTGGTTTGCTTACAGACACTAGTCATTTGTCCTGTGTGGGATTCTATGTTTTCAATTGGGCTAGTTACTTCCAACGTCACATTATCCCTTGTACTTCCTGTAAAACAGCGGTTAAACCTCCAGACTTGACTATATTTAGGCTCAATCTTCTCAGCCATGAACGTTCCATGGATGATGTCATGTCCTTCCCACTGCATCATATCGGGACGTGGACACTGTCACTTTTCCTCATCTTTACTTCAGTCTGATCCCTCACAATAAAGCCCCTTAATAGTACTTGTTTTAGTGTTCACTGATGATAGCAGCCCATATTTATTAACCCATGGTCTTTCTAACTTAAAATTCCTTCTACTTTGTTCTTTAAGGAAGAACTTTCCCTCATGTGTCATTTATTTACTCTGAAATATAGGAACTGCAGGATAAACTTAGATTCCCTTTACCTATATTCAGGGTAATCAGTTGGTATCCTAGTAACTTTCCAAAATGATACATAAGGGTTATTTTTAAACATATCATAAATCCTAAAATAAGAAAACTCATCTCCCAACTTCAAAACAAAAAGATATAAAATACATTCATACCGCTTCTCTTTTAAGATTTATATTCATCTCTTCCATATTAGTATCTGCATGCCCATGTATCGATCTACCATGAATGTAATATCCAAAACATTTGTAGGATAACAAAAACACTGATATCTATTTAAAAAAAGAAGAAAAAGAAACAATTAGCAACTCATCTACAAAATAATAAATCAAGTTTTTCTTAAAATTTTTTCCTTTCTCCCAAAATAGTGAGGACTGAATTCTTGGAAATATACATAAGGATAATAAAGTAATAAAGGATAATTTAAAAAAGGGGCTGGGGATTTAGCTCAGTGGTTCTGGTGCCTGCCTCCCAAGCGCAAAGTTGCGAGTTCGATCCCTAGTACCAAAAAAAAAAAAAAAGTAAATGGACAGGATATTAAAAATATTTTCCAAGAAAGAAAGAAATTTTGATGTATAAAAAAATTTGTCAAGGACCATAGGACGATTAAATTATTTCAAAGCATAAAAAATTCACAATGAAATATCACAAATAAAGAAAAAAAAACTTAGGCAGTTAAGTACTAACTTGTAGCTCATTTTAACTATCTCTGGACTTAAGAGCCAGTGGACAATTAAGACTAAAAATGAAATTACACTAAATCACTTTAAAAGCCTCACTTCATGTACTCATGACCTTTAAAAGGAGAAAAGTAACAGTTGGCAGAAAAAGTCAAGAAATACTTACATTACTCACTGAGCACAAATCAACAAACTGTCGAATTTTATCCTCTACGAATCGCTCATAAAAGCCAACAAAGAACACCATCTGAAACATTAAGGCCAGTTCATGCTTATTAGCTTTTAAAATTTTAATCTTCTTTTATAGCCACACTGTAATACTTCAAGAAAAAAGAAGTTCCAAACAAGAACATAGTGGTCTCTAATGGTTCCTGTGGGATAAAATCCTACTTGTTATTTCTGACTCTACCACCAAAGGAAGGAGGATTTTGGAACTGTGTAAGTCATTTAGAGCCCATTTTGATTTTTTTTTTTTTTTTTTGGAGGCAGGGTCTTGTTATGCAGCTTCAAATTCTCAATCCTCTTGCCTCAGCATCCTGAGTGCTGGGGTTACAGTTGTGTGCCACAATGGCCAGCCCATTTTGAATTTTAAATACTTTTCTGTGTCATTAAAACAATGTAAAGACAAACATATGAGAAGAAAGAAAAGGTCTTCTTGAAATTTAGGATAAACTGATGCATTAATGGCCAGATTTATGTCTGGTTTTGGAAGGATGCTCATCTTCTAAATACTCAAAGACTTCAGAAAACTTTCTGTTTTTCAAATAATCTCTGAGAGTATAGCACATAAAAATATATCCAATTTTCTATTTTGACTACTGGTAATGTTAAGTGTTCAAATGAAATAGTATCAAGTGTTAGATTTAATAACAATACTAGAAAGAAAAAAATTTTTTCCCTCAGCACAGGATTGGCACGAGGGCCTTTGCACTGAGCTATAATTCCCAGCCCTTTTTTCATCTTTTATTCTGAGATAGGGTCTTGCTAAGTTGCTAAGTCTCTGGGTAGGCTTGAACTTGCATTCCTCCTGCCTCAGCCTCCCAGAATGCTGGAATTACAGGTGCGTGCCACCAGGCCCAGTGGGAAATTTATAAATAAAAAGTTTCACATTGTAGACCTTTTCAGGTATGTTTCAGAGAAAGATAACATTTCCTAACCACTGTCCCCCATTCCCAGCCTCCACTCTCCATGCTTCTGTTGACCTGTGGACTATCTCAGGTCCCTGGTGAGTCTCTTCATAGCATTTGTCTAGTTTTCTTCTAGCACATCCATGCGCTCCACACAGTACCCAGTCTAGAAGAACACGTATTCATACATGGGAATGAATAAGTGAATATGCAGAAGCTGATGAGAATGATGATGATTATTACTATTATTATCTTTGAGACAGGGTCTCTCTATGTAGACCAGACTGATCTTGAACTCACTGTGCACCCTGGGCCTACCTCAAACTTGAAATCCTCCTGCCTCAGTCCCCTGAGTGCTAAGCCTACATGTGTAGGCCACCAAACCTGGCTATCCCAAACACTTTACATGCATATTTCTAAACCCTTCTGAAGAATATGAAAAGCAGCAGCAAAGTTTAAAATTTAAATGATACCACACAAAAGTTGAAGATGTTGGGTTCAGGGAAATGAAAGGAGTGAACAATAAAGCCTGGCTGACTACTACAATCTAGAAGAGTTCAGACACATTTTTGAAAATGGAACAAGTCAATAAAGGAACTCAAAAGACACTCAAGGAATAAACACTGATACTTGCAGAGCACTGCCATGGAGAGAATTGCCTTCTTGGCAGTATGATAGCAAAGTAAGAAGCAAAGGGTAACAGTGGATGGTAGCATCCACCATGATAAAGTCCTGGCCAAGGAGATGTCTAATGGCTCTTCTGAAAGACTCAGAGATAGGACGGAGAGCTGGTCTCCCCCAACTCCCTCCTGCATCAGCCCTTATGGACAACAAGGTGACCTGGCAGACGGAGTCTTCTGCAACACAGCCGAACAGCAGCCTCCTGGGACTGATGACACCACTGAGCCATCACTGCCCTACACTGCTGACCTCTGCTTTTTTTCTTCTTTGGTGAGATAAAGTTCTCTTTATTTCAGCCACTCATATCTATTTTGTTTTAGTTTTGTTATATTTGGCTGAATATGAAAAGCTTCCAATGGCGTTCCTTTAAATTTTCTACAATCAGACGACTGTGATGTAGTTACAAACACGCTGTACATGTACAAAACATTTCCTTGCTATTACATTGTTGATAAACATCAAATCCCATACTCTTGATCCCATCTAACTTCAAATTCTAGTTTCTATTTGTCCTCCTTTTCTGGGTGTTAACTCTACCTCATGAGCTCTATCCCTGTAGCTTCAATTTTGGAAAAATGTCACCAATTTATAATAAAGGTAAGCCTACAAAGTCAATTCTCGGGTTATAAAATACCATCTGGATCTAACTATAGGATAAGCTCTCGGCTGTTGTGTTCCCTCTTGCATGGTGGCCCAGCCTTGTGCTGCAGGCTGCAGTTCTTTTCCTACTTTCACTTGGTCCAACCTGGTTCTGCAGGGCCTATTTATTTTCCTACCTTTAATAAAAGTTTGCTAACCTCTGAAAAAAAAAAGAATAAGCTCTCTCAAAAGAACTTTAATCCTGGGGTGGGGGAGAAGAACTTTAATACTAAAAGATCTTTAAAAACAGGCTGTTTGGGGTAGATATTAGCCAGCAAAGAAGAAGTTAAACCTAGTCTTTCCAGGGGTTCCATTTTATTTGCTGATTGTAACAGCTAAAGGAGTTTTTAATCAAACAGAAAAGCTCTTTCTATTCATGGGAGTAGCTGAGAGCAACAGAAAGGGAGTGCAGCTATTAGAGTTAAATGCTTTAGCGACTACCTTTTTTTCCTTCACTTTTTTAACTTTAAGAAAAGAAAAAGAAGCATAGAAAAGAAGCTTGTGCCAGAGCCATAAGACCCTGGGGTCCAAAGGACTGACTTTCAGTTTTCATCATTCAGTACATAGTTCAGGGAAAATTCCCCAAGAAGTCGTAGCAATTTGAGTGAGATTAATGATATGTAAATACAGGTAAACAATAAGCTACGTTGTAAAGGAAAAGAAAATGCTTAGAATAGCACAGCAGTCACTGTAGTTATTTTTAAACCAGACAAAGAATCTGTCCTGTGACTGTGAAGTTGTAGAGTCTCAAAGACCCTTCAGAGGCCACTACTGACAAGAATGAGAACTCTGAAATCAAGCTGCCTGGGTTCAAATTCCAGTTCTGCCAACTCCTACAGCTGGCAATTATTTCACCTTCCTGTGCCTCAAGTTACCTTCCCTATAAACAAGGATGCTAACAGAACTATATCCAAGGGCTAATTAGGTAAAGATTAAGAAGTTAATATGTGTGATTAATTGATTAACACAGTCCCTAGATTATACTACAATATAGGACTTAACTATTATTACTATTGTTCTTGTCATCTTTTTGTTATTAAGTCAATGTTTGAAGGTAATCAGTATTCAAGCAGAGTTATAGAGAGGCAATGTTACTTAAAAGTATAATCTGTACTTGCCTGTGTAACTCCAATGACCAGCCAAAGAGCAGTAGACACAGCATACCTCAATATGCGGCTGTAAGGAGGTATGTAGCTAGATGGGCTTCTAGAAAGACTAGAGGATGAGTCCATTAATGCTAAGTTCTTGAATCCCACAATCTGAAGCAAAAAGGAAAAATAATTTAAACAAACATGGATAAAGAAAACGTTTCTACACTGCAAATGGAATATTCCTCCACTTCCCACCTTAAAAAAAAATCTAAGTTTGCAAACAGTAGAAAATCTAGATTAAAAATAATTCTCCAGTATTTTAATTAGGAAGTAGTCATTAAAAATATTTAGTTAGAGGGCTGGGGACTTAGCTCAGTGGTTCTGCCGCCTGCCTCACAAGCTCAAGGTCCCGAGTTCGATCCCCGGTACAAAAAAAAAAAATTTAGTTAGGGCATCTGGTTTTTATCTCAATATGACTAAAGGCCAAATATAATCCTTTTGTCCTTACACTGACAAAACTCGAACATTTCCATTAAAAGAATAAAACTTTCTTCAGTAAACTACTAATAACCAGCAGTTAATGAGTATTCTTCAGTAAACTACTAACAACCAGCAGTTAATGAGCATTTAACATGTGCCATACACTCTACTAAATACTTTTTATACTTTAGAACAGTATATTCAAAATGACCTTCTGAAGAACATACCTTATGGTTAAATAAGTTTGGTCTGCATAATTACATTCACCTACATGACTCTGACTTTTGTAGGATAAAGGCTTTGAGACGTTTTCAGTAAGGTTTCTACATGATTTTATTGAATATAGTGTTTCATAAACTTAGAAGACTATTAAACTTCTTTTTCACGTAACATCTGTTTAAATCTCACCAAAAACTCTTAAAAACACTACCACAAAAAACCCTTGAAAAATGTGAGGGAATAGATATGTTAAGTAGCTTGATTTAGCCATTCCACAATGTATACATACATTAATAATAGGTTTATACTACAAACATGTTATAATTTTTACTTGTCTATTTTTTAAAAAGCACTACTTTATCTGAATTTTTGAGGTGCTATCAATAGACACACATATTCTTCTACCAGTTTTAAAAATGGAAAGGAAAGGGGAAAAGAAAGGATGATGACAAATAGAAAGAAGACAGAAAGGGTTAATTTACATCCAACATTATTGAAAGAAAGAATTCCTGAGAAAATCTGTCACCCTTTCAAATATTTTTTTACATGTGTCTGTCCTCCTATCCAATACAGAACACTTCTTTTGATAATTCAAACAAGATCCAAGACACAACTACAAGTTCACCCTTATGTTTACTGCATCTTGTTCAGTTGTAGCCCTAGCTTTTAGCTCAAGACATAGTCCCAAAGTGGGTATTTGGGAATAAGTTCTTGAAAAAAACTTTGTAAAAATAGTAGTTCTAATGTAAGGGTGAGAATACAGATCATAGGAAGAGGGGGAGTTTTCAAAATATAGGCACCTACTCTCACCTCAAAGCTACTGAATCACAGACTCTCTAAGGATGAGGAGCATAGGTTATGTTATTTTGTTTTTTAATACAAAAGTTCCCCAAGTGATTGTGATACAAGCTAGTGGTTTAGCATCTACTTTTCACACCTAGAGTGGTCAAATTCATGGAGATGAAAACCAGGAGGGTGGTTGCCGGGAGCTGGGGCGAGGAGGAAGGAGTAATACATAGCATTGTGTAATGAGTAGAATTTCAGTTTTGCAAGATGAAGAGTTCTAGCAAAGGTGGTGAGGCATTTGCAGAACAACGAATAATGAATTATATACTTAAAAGTGGCTAAGTAGCAAGTTTTTGAAGTATTTCACTATAAATTTCTATTTAAATTTTTTTTGTTTTGTTTTATAGGAAAAAGAGAAAGGAGGCCACTGCAATTCCTTTGAAAGCCACTCTTTTTTAATGACTTGATAATAATGTTTAAACCTGTAAAAAAAACTCTTCCACTACCACGAAAAGTAGCTTAGAATTATATTAACATTTATAAGGCACCAATACGTTGCATACAGTTATATCAAACACTTTATACCTCCAAAAAGAAGAGAATGGTAAGTACTTGAAAGAGTGGATTAATTTTCCTCACAGTCTGAATCTCATTCCATTCATTTGCTACAAAATACGTTCTCCAAATGCTTACAGGAACAGTGGCAGTCCGTACACCGCCCTCACCTGGTCAGGGAGAGAAAATGAGTAAAAGCATTTCAATTCATTAGCTCTGTAAGGGTAGCAAAAGAATTCTGGTACAAATGTTTATTTCAATTACCTTCAACAGCTTTAAGAACTTTTCCTTTAGGCCGCTCCCAATCAATAAAGAATATATCTATGGTAATCTGGGATATGAGTTTATGCAAAAATTGCAGGGCCTGAGAACATGTAATAATACAAATGAAAACTATCAGCATTAAGCCTCCTTATGAAACCAATATTGATTCTTTAAGAAACACATTGTAATCACAAGAGAATGTAATTTTTACAAGTGACTTCACATAAAGCTATAATACCATTAGGGGGTCAGTAGGGGCTCATCAAATAAACCGGAATCTCCAAATTTACAAAATTGCCATACACCTATAAATTCACCTTTAAAATGAAAATATGAAAGAAATGGAGATACCCCCCCCCCCATAGGGGCTTTGCCTAATTAACTGACACTCTTTCCCAGGGGTTGTGGATCATCTGATTTCTTTATAAGTAAAAATACTTTTTCAACTGTAACCTTAAGTAAAGTTGCAGGATGCTCTCACTGTCTTTCTAATCTCTGGTACTGAAATTTCAGATTGTAAAAAATGTGTTGCTGAAACACATCTTTATCCTTTACAGGAGCGGTATGTTTAAACTGAGGTATTCTTCTCAGTGGGTGCATTACTGATCAAGCAGAGGATAAAAACCTAAGTACGGGATGATAACTCTCCTCAAGGAGCTCTAGAGATAATTGACACCTGCCCACCACAATACAATGGGATGATTCCTGCCACAGGGGTGTGGAAAAAGCTTCACGTATAGGGACAGTGACCCCTCAAGTTGGGGAGGGGTTGGGGAGGAAGAGGAAGAGGAAAAGAATACATTATGGAGACAGAGAAAAAAAACTTCTATGATTTCAGTACTTTAACCAGAGTGTTACCCTTTACCTTTGATGAACAAAGAATATCACACTGTGAATGCATCATCAGACTTTAAGGAAGAAAGTTACACACCAAAATATCACTTTTTCAAATTAGCTACAACTTATGAGAATCCAAACACATTTATAGCTTTTTTGAAAAAACTATTTAAGGAAAACTGTTTTGAATGAACTATTATAAATACAAGCAGACTTCCTAGGTAAAATGAAATAATTCATACCTTCTTTTAAAGTCAAAGTGAATTTTACACCAAAGATTTTGAAGGCATTTTCATTTTAAAGGCTTCCTAGTTTATCAGCAGGCCTTTGAAGTTCAGTCCTTGCCTCTGAAACTTACCTTCAGAGCAAAAGCACATCCCACGTAAGTGACGAAGCGTTCTTCCTGAGCTGCCAGTGGTAGCAAAACAGAGACAGACTTCTGGGCCTGTGACAAAATTACGTGGTCAATAAAGTCATACAAGGTTTTTATTAAACACAAGTCAGAAGCTGAAGACAGCATAAGAGAGGGGGATAGTGATTAACTCAATAAATGTACACTCAGGGAATGGTAGGTTTAGGATTTGCCTCAAGACTTTTCGTGGTGCTTGGGATCTAATGCAAGGTCTTGTGTACGACAGCTGTACCTGCAGGCACATCTCAAGACTCCTGATCAGAAATGCCCCCAAGTAAAAGTAGTTCCCTTTTATTATAAAGAGTGCTAACCAGTTATTTATGTATTGGCATTTAAGTGTTTTGTTTTTTTTTTTGTATCAGGGATCAAACTTGGGTCCTTGTGCTTGCGCAGCAGGCGGCGAAACCACTGAGCTAAATCCCTGGCCCTATTGGCATTTAAGTTAAATTCAGAAACTCACTTACTTTGAAGAAGATAAGCCAATAAAGACCTGTTCCCACTGTGACGACAAAAAAGACATTGGCCAGATCGCCAGCATAGTACACGAAGAATTTCATAACTGTCTGCAATTTAAAAAGAACAATTACAGCTGTTAAAGAAAGGCTCCATCTATTAGGGGCAGGGATGTAGCTCAGTACACCTGCCTGGCAAGTGCAAGGTCCTGAGTTCAATTACTGGTACTGGGTGGGGGGGGAGACTCCATTCATTTACCACTTTTAGCAACACTATTACTTTTTTTTTGGTACCTTGAACTCAGGACCTTGCACTTGAGATGCAAGCACAGTGCCACTGAGCTAAATCCCTGGCTGTACACTATTACTTTTAATAATGTATCTTCCACCCATTTTCTCAAGCCTGAAGCCTTGTTTTATGTATCCATGCATTACCCAGGTATAAAGACACTGAGCCTCCTTCTACATTTTCCATTTGGATCCTTACTGTTCATTCCATTCCAGCAACCTCTGTTTCCTTTCAAGACATCTCACCTTTCTCTAAGAAAGTGGAAACTGTTCCAAATCTTCTCTTAGTTGGTAAGCCCAATCCCAATCTATCTTCCACACTTTCACCAGCCTTAGTTTTCTAAAATGTAAACTGTATTGTCATTCCCTTTCTTTTTAAAATTCTTTTATTCCCTTTCTTAAAAAGATACAAGGACTCCTCATTAAAACATGAATTCTTCATGCCCAAGGTCCTTTGCATCATGGACCAAAGTTAACCTTTTATTCATCCTCAGCTGCTAATTCCAACCAGTTCATAATTAACCACGCCACACTTCCGCATGGGCACTCAGACACTTGGCCCTCAGGGATGGCTGTGGAATGAACAGATAATCCATCTTAAAGTTCACTCCTCTGGGAAGCCTTTCTTGACTTCTCACAACAGTAAATGTTAACCATCCTGCTGTGATTTCTTAACACAATGGCTTTAGAGTAGAAGATAAGCTGGTTAAACAGTGAGTATATATGGCTCTTCTCACGGTCTTCATAAGCAAAACAAAAATCATAACTTTTGCTGAGTTGTAAAAAATGAGAAGAAAATTCAACCTCTGCCTCAATTTCATCATGCACAAAATGGGAATTGAATTCTTAACACTTCATAGAGCTATAATAAGGATTAAATGCGTTACATATGCAAAGCTTTAAAAAGTGCCTGGTACCCAGTAGGTATTCAGCGGATGTTAAGATAATTTTTTTAATTTAAAAAGATTAAATGAGAAAGTAAACTATAAAGTTAAATAGCATAAAATGTAAAAAGAATATCTCTTTGATGTTGAGATGGGAAGGTTTTCCTAAACAAGATACTAAAAGCAAATAACATAACACGAGAAAATATTCAGATATTATAAAATCAAAATGAAAAGTTTCTGTAAAACAAAGGGCTACATGCATATAAAGAACAGATAGATCATATTTAGAGAAAATATTACATCAAAAATCAAAAAAGGATTTATAATTAGAAAATACAAACTTTTACAAATAAAAAAAAGAAAAACTGGAAACCTGATGGAAAAATGCGCAAGGGATTTAAGCAGGCAGTTCAAGAAAAGGGAAATCCAAATGACTAAAATGCATACAAATAATAACAAAAGAAATGAAAATGAGGTCAGCTGGGTGTGGTGGTGCATGCTAATGCCAGTGCTCTGGGAGGCTGAGGCAGGAGGATCACAAATTCAAGCCCAGCCTGGGCAACTTAGTGACTTAGTGAGACCCTGTCTCAAAATTAAAAATAAAGACAAGGGCTGGGGACACTGTGTAGCTCAGTACTAAGGCCCTGGGTTCAATTCCCAGTACCATGAAAAAGAAATCAACAATGACATGTTAATATATACCACTGAAATGGCAAAAAAATGGAAAGGTTGGAGACATCAAGACTGGCTGAACAAAAACCACCAGAAACAGGAAAGGCACTGCCTGGGAAGCACGTAGATTGGCATGCACTGTGGGAAGAAAATGGGGTGTGCATTTACTCTATGACCCAGCAATACCTATCCTAATTACATTCTAGAAAAATTCAGGGTAACTACCTTACTCATCTTCTAGCTGTCTAGAATAGTCAAAAGATAAAAATATGCATTAAAAATTCTAATATTATACCTGTAGATCAATCATGGGACTCCCAATGCGTCTTTTCCACCCCGCTGTCTTCAAAAGAGATGATAAAACAGCTAGCCCACCCAACACACCCAAAGCAATCTAAAAAACAAGAAAAAGAATACTTTACACAATTATTCTTATCACTATTCAAAAGTACTGTAAATATAAGTAGTGCTCAAAAAACAGTGGGGGACATTTTGAAAGCACCCAGAAACCAAATTGAGGGAAGTTCCAATGGTCAAATTTAGCAAAATTTGAGACAAAAAAACCCCCCAAACTAATAATGGATTATAATCACCTAAATAAGTATCCTTGAATCTGCATGATTTAAGTCAATAACCATTTAAATTAATGTGGGCCAAGGGAAAACTTCTTTTTACAATAAAACTCCCATTCATAAATACAGAAGGAATGAGGGAAATAGAAAAATGTCAACAGGCAAATCCCATACTAATTAATTATAGGATGGAAGCCAAGAACTCTTTGTTGTTATGTTTAGTAGCTTATGCAATTAATTTATAAATAAAAGTTCAAAAATTCTTTTAAAAAAAATCCCATACTAATTCTTTCTGTGACAAGGATCATGAATGGATGCTAAAATTACAGGGTAAAAGAATGATGAGAAGCAAGATATTTGCATAATTTCAAAGTATCTCCCCTGAGATATTTATTAATTCCAAATGAAAAAATAGAGGTGAGAAACCATTTTAGCCAAATGGACAAAATGAACAGCACCAATAATATGACAATGAGCTCACAAGGCCCCTGACATGAGGCCTGACAAGGCCACAGCATCATTGCTGCAATATCTCTGCCAAAACTACAGGAACTTAATTTAATCAAAAGAAAATATCAGACAAGTCCAAATTGAGGGCCAAAATAACAATTCAAAAGTATTACGGTCAGAAAAGACAAATACTGGAATCTGGAGTGGGTCCTGAAACAGAAAAAGAACAGTGACCACTGTACTGTGTGGTTACATAAGATGTTAACATTAGAGAACATCAGGTAAGAGTATATAGCAAATCTATTTTGACAACTTTCTTGTACATGGAAAAAAATTTTTAATTAAAAATTACAATATACTGTTGGGTTGGGGATGAGCTCTTCCTTAGCATGTGTGAGGGCCTGGGTTCAATAACCAGTACCTCAAAAGAAAAAAAATACCACACACACACACACACACACACACACACACACACACACACACTATGTCTCTGTCTGTATCTATATGTAT